ATATAATGTGTACCCCCCACCCCATACTCCATGTGGAGCTTTGGGGACACATGTAGCAATTAACATGGCTCAATTGGTAAGCCAGGCTTGCCAGCTTGTCTAAAGTAGCAATGCTAGGTGCCCAAGGTAAGTTATACAGATCTAGAGTTCCTCAAAGCTTTTCTGTTCAACTAGTACAGAATTTCACCCCCAACGACCATCCTCTGCTCTATGGGTTATGCCATATTAGGCAAAGCAACCCTTGACATGCCCCAGCCAGCCTGGCTTTGAGGCCCATGGGGGGTGATTTCAGAGGTCCGGAATGTCAGATAGGCTTATCTGTGCCAGAGATAGCAGCCTTCCGCTCCCAGCTCTACCCCTCCCAGCATCACCCTTCCCACCCTCTCCCCCTACCTCCCTACCTCCCACTGTGCTCTGCTTATGAAGTTCAGGAACTCCATGTTGACTTGGGCTGCAAGCATTACCCCCAACCTCACCCTGGGCTATCCACCACTGGGGAGCCACAGCACAAACTATTGGCAGTGGTCACATTTGGGAGTAAAAGGTGTGTGGTGACCTTCCTGGATGCTCACAAAACACAGGTATTTCCTTCTAACAAGATTATCCAAGCATTTTCGTAATGTAGGTTGGCTCCATTTCAGGTGGTGACAAGAGTCCATGAGTCATTTCCTACAAACATGTTCTTATGGCAATGATGTACAAATGCTTTAGAGTAGAAGCTGGTTACCTGTGATTATTGAGCAACGCTGGAGGGCGGTAGTAAAGCCCCAGACTAGGAATCAAGGGACAGGTCATCAATGATCCTCCAGTCACCTGACTGTGGGAGGGCTTTCTCTCTGATTTCCTGCCATCCGTCCATTCTGCCCTCACCTTCCTCTCTCCCATATGCATCTTCATTCCCCTTACGCAAGCAACACATTCTTCTTAGAACATATCTCTCTGCTTGTGTTCCCTCTAAACTATTCCCTTAGGTCTGCAAGGCAAACTTCTCCTCTATCAAGCTCCAATCATATCTCCTCTTCCAGGAAGCATTCCCAGACTGCTCTAATCACACTTAGTTATTTGTTTTTCTATGTTGTTGCAGAACAGTATATATACCTCTCCCATAGCACTTACGATATTAATGACAATGATGGCCAAATGTTTACTGAACATTTATTATGTACTAACCAGCATTAGACACTTTGCAAAGATAAGCTTATTTAATCATGGAAACTCCATGAGGAAGTGCCATTTTTGTCCTCAGTTCACAGAGAACACTACTGAGGATCAGAGACTTAAACAACTTGTCCAAGGCTGCTGAGCTATTAAGTAACTGAAAGGTGCCTAGGCAAGTACCTGGCACAAAACAGCTACTCAATAATTGTTCACCTCATGAATGATTCAACAAGTGAATAAATACAAAAACAATGACATTTCTGTCTCCTCTACAGAAAGCTCAAGTGAGAAACACTTCTTAGTCATCTTTTAAATCATCTTCTCTGCCAAATGCATAGTAAGGTCTAGGGCACTAAAGACAGCTTTTGAATGAACAAACAAACAAACAAACAAGCAAACCAACAGAGACCAAATCCTGGCAGTGCCACCCACTGCCTTCAGCTTCTAGGCATCTTGTGGGTCACCTAGTAAATGCAGAGACTTGCATGCAACAGTCTCTCATTAGTCTCTCAACGGTCTAGCATTAAAGATACATAAAAAATAAATGACCAGTCTCCATTTTGTGATGATGGCAATTTCAATACTATATTACATATTGCATTTTCTTCTGGGTTGTTTTCGCCAGGAACATTACTCAATCGGCTATGGCAAGCAATTTGGACATAACACTATTGCAGAGGCAGTATCAGTTCCTGAAAGAGTTAATTTGGCTTGATCTCTGGCTTACTCCATTCTTATCCAAACAGACCACACCCAAGGAAAGAATTATCGAGTGCCTGACAAAACCCTCATAAATAATAATCAATAATAAACAATGGTCCCATGTGAGGTCATGCAACTGGTGCTAAAACCACTGTTCTAGGAACTTTATAGGTCTTTCTCCCTGTCCCCTGGCACCTCCACCAGGGTCTTGTGCTTCAGATATATCCTGGTTATCAACCATCAACCTCCTCGCTGCCACCAGTGACCAACATAAACATAGAGGCACACACACATACACACACACCCTCACTGCTATCATGAAGGGAGCAGCGTATACTTAGCATAGGGTAGGGGTTAATATGTGAAATGCTGAAGCCCATTCATTCCAGATAGGGCTGAGATGTGTCCAAAGGTGGGGTATCCAAAGTGCAAAGGTGGGGGTTCTGGCTGCAGTTCATTTATTCCTGCTCTCCCTGTGAGTAATCAGGAGTTTGGCTCTTTGCCTTGTACCTGACATACCTGTGTAATCCGTCTTAGCATTAATGATCAGCCACATGTACACTAAATGCCCAGCATTTCTTGCTTGGCTAATGATCAGAATAAACTACTACACCAAAGGGTACCTAAAGGAGTGTGTGAGCAAGACATTCCTGTAGGAGTGGGGAGGAAGGAACCATTCTTTGTGTTCTGTTTAGCTGATAGCAAGGAGTACCAGAACTAGGCTTTGGGAGATGTACATTAAGCATCAGTGTGAATCCAACATGAAGAGGACCTATACTGTAACCACAATGCAAATAAACATTTACTGTCAACACCAGTTGTTTATCTGTCTCACACCTTCATGTCCTTGGGGACCTGCTCCTCTCTCACACTAATCATGTGATGCCTGAAAGGACAGTAGCCAGTTCCCCTATCTTTGGTCACAGGATTGATTCAGCAGTGGGCCAATCAAAATCCTCCCCTGAGATTTTTTTTGGTCAATATTGAGCAGAAAGAGTAAGATTCTAGCCTTTTGGGCCATGGAGCTACAAAGGTACAAACTAGAGAATACCAAGGAGGAGAAAATCTGTTTGCAGGAGGGAAGGATGGAACCAACACAGAGCCCAAGATCCCAGAGATAGACGACGGAGAGAGATGGGAGACTTTGAGTGTCTGGATATTTCTGTTTCTACCAATTAGTGATTCTCCTGTTCTGTTTAGATTAGTTTGAGTTGGGTTCTGAAATCTGCAGCTAAAATGGTCTAACAGTTATAGTTGTAGATTGCATTTCAGAGATACCTTCCACTCTGCAGGTAGCTTTTATGAGTTTGCCCAGCACACATCTGAAATGTCTTTGTTCTTCCTCATAAGAAAGGCATAAAAATCCATGGGCAAGAATCACTCTTACTCAGCACCACTTAAGACATAAGTTTTGTTTCTCTCTTTATATCTCAGGCACCAAATGAGACTGCTAACCACAAGATGTGATGGCTTTTCTATTCAAATCATCAAAGCTTATAAAATAGGGGCTGGCCAGGTAGGCTAGGCAATCGGCTGGTGATCTTTAACAAAAGAAGGACATCTTCGTGTTGGCCACCTCCTTGCTGGCTGGCTCTCTCTGAAGCTCTGTCTTCACATCACTAGGGAGAGTCCCCTAAACAGCTAGAAACTGTTGGGTGTATGGGGCAATGGCATGTCCTAATAAAAAAAGCACTCTTAAAGCAGTGCTTGAGAAAACACATTGAGCTGGCCACCCGACGTCTAGGGGACCTTTGAGAGAGCAAGGCCCACACAGACAGTTGCTGAGGATGGTGACACTTCGTAAGCTAAAAACTTCCTCTTCTTTATGTCTGAGGATTTTCCCAGTGAACTATGAACCCCGAAGTAGCAACTAGAAAGGGAGGTGCTGGGTGGGCATGGTACCCAGGATGCTGGTCCCACCTCTTTCTCCCCTTTTCTTTAACATTTTTATCTTCTCGGCAGGATGCTGGAGTTGGCAGGTGACCAGCAGCCCCGCTTGGATGACGAGTATGTTCTGGGCTGGAGCCATCAGTCTGTTTGGCCCGATGGAATATTCTCCCTATACCCTGTAGAGGAGGGGAGCCCCAGGCTCTGAGGAGCTTGGCAGCTGTCTCCCCTAGGGCAGGGGAAAGCAGCCATCTCCCACGGTGGACGCAACCACTCCTCATCACCAAAACAAAAACACAACAGTCCTAATCGCCATGGAGAGTTCAATCCTCTTGTCTGGGATTGGCACTGACTAGAATTCCAAGGGCTCTGGCTGAGCTACCTCCTGTGAGGTCTAAATACAGCACGATCACTTTTAACCTAAACATACAGTCTGGACCAGGGCCTAGGGCTGACAGCCCCTAAAGGTCAGCCAGGAAGTCTTGACTTCTAACTGCCTGTTTGGTGGTAGGCATTTCAGAGACATCAGATACGTGATGTGCAGGTCAGCCCCATGCTCACTGATGTTGCCTATGGCCAAACAATGGGGTAAGCCATCAGCTTGTCGAGGGTTAATGACAAGTGTGTCTTGAGCAGGGAAAGGCATCCTGAGAAAGTGGAGAATGCAGAGGTGTGAGGAGGAGAGAAAGAGAGAAGGAAAAAAAGGCAACAAGGACCCAAGACACACTAGTCAATTGAAAGCTGGGAGGGACCTTCTAAAATGTTCGGAGGAACACAAATCTCAATGCATGTGCCTCCACGGAATTTAGGGTTGAAGTCCTAGAATTAGAGCAAGGTCACCTAGTTGTGTGACCTTGCACAAGAAAACAGGCTTGTTTCCACATTTCTTAAATGGCTCAAAGGACTACTGCAGATGTCCAGGAAGACCATGTACACAAACAGTCTAGAAGCTGATCACAGAACAGTAGCTACTAGAAGTAATAACAGTGGTAGTAACAGTAGAAGTAAGGTAATGGCAAGCATTTGCTTCATTCCCTCAACTTTGCCTTGGAGAGGGCACAAGAAGAGCTGCTGGGGCCACCATGAAAACTCCCAACCAGGATAGCTACACAAGTACAGACAAATGAAACCTTCAACTGAGCTAAACGGGTAAAACACACCCATGGCTTTCAAGAACCCTAGGATGGCAAAATGGTGCCCACTTCCTAGCCTCCCCATAAGAAGCATGGTAAAATAATGTCCCCGTTCCCTACCTTGGTGTTCAGACATGACTTCCCCCGGTTGTACTCTTTGTGGGATCCACGCTTGTCCAATTTGTACCACAGAGCCTTGGCCTTCCAGGTAGTCACCTTGGCCTTGAGCTTGGAATAAAAGTTTCTGTGGTCCAGAGGGTCCAGGTCCAGGTGCCGTGTGAGGATGTTGAAAGCCTGGAGGGTGCCTTTACAGGTGGAAGCCTGGACGAAGTTCTCGAAAACCTGCCCAGCCTGGGCCTGCTTCTCGTCCTCGTTTTCCCCCATGTTCAGGAGCCACGTGGAGCAATGGTGTGAAGAGGATGGAGGAGAACACCATGAAGGACCTGGGGGAACGTCACACCTGCAAAGGTAGGAGGTGGCAGATGTGAGCGCCGTAGCAATGAGGGTAAGGGTGGGGAGTGAATAACTTTCAGAATGTACACGCATACTTTCTAACTGCCAGTGCTGCCCTACTTACAAAGGTCCTCCTCAGCACCCTACTCCTCTCTGTTGACTGAAAAGAACCCAGATCATTTAACGTTACACCTTGGCTAGCATGAACATCACCTGGCCGATCTTGCCCTGAGTCCAACAGTTCTAGAAGATAGAGCATCTTAGAAAACTTACGATTCTTGACTCTGCAAACTGGTTAACTGATAATGTATGTACCCTAATTGCATTACATCAATGGACAACCCCCAAAATCAAGGCACATTTCTCCCTCGGCTTCAAGACCACCTCACCTATCCTTAGAGGTCAAATTTTAAACTCACTCTTTGTTAGTGACTAGAGGGCGAGGTCTTGCTCCTAAACTGAGGACAAATGGCAAGTTTCCAAAGCTTTTCTCTATTGCCAGTGTCTACCGGAAGCATAGATCCACCTCAGGCAGAAAGACAGAGAGACACATGGGTCTCCTCCCAGCATACAGGAGCCTGTGCTTTGTCAGCCTAAGCTGTGAGCTATTTGGAACAAGTGCTCAGCCTGATGGAAGGAAAAACGCGATGGGTATTCATTCACATCACAAAAATAGCTTGCCTGCGTTTTGGCATTGTCCTTTCTCTCTGTGCCACTCTAACCTCAGGCATTTCTTAGGAGTCATTTAAGTTTCAAAGGAACAAAAATAAATTAGAACTGATTTTCCAAGGCACTAGTTCTCCCCCTGCCCTGGAATCCAAAGCTAGTGCAAGAAGACAAGTATGGAGGAGCTGAGGCTGGCCCAGCTGTCAGGAGGTCTTGAAGGGGTCTGTACACAGCAGGATACAGCATATGGAGGTGTCCCCCACAGACTCCTGGCAGCAGGAAGTCAGCCAACACACAGGGACAAAGCCCTTGGGTTGGGTGGCTCTCCCACTCGCAGATGGGAATGCTATCATGAGTGCATTCGGACTGCAGACCAGCCTTATCATGCTAAAAGCAAAGAATGGTGTTTATCTTCGTCCTGAACAATGTCCTGAACACTTAGCAACAATGGTGCCTTAGCAAGAGTCATGCATCACCCTAGGTGCTAGGGGCCTAGCAAAAAAGATGGGCCCATAAAGGGTATTCTACAGGGCAAGTGCTTGTAGGTATGAACAAAGTTCATGCAAGCTCAGAGCAGGCAGAGTCCAACAGGACCTGCAGAAGTCCAGAGAAACCACAAGACGAATTGCCAAAAATGCTACAACCTGATAAACAAGGTGAATTTCAAAATACAGGGGAATGGATGTTCCAGGCAAAGGAAACACCATACAAAGGTGGGAGTGTATGGCAGAATCACAGCTGGTTCAAGGTGTCAGGACTTCAGGACTCATGACCAGATGTGGTGGGTTGTCCAAGGTGGATTGTGGGGCCTGTCTGCCCCAGGCCAAAGAAAAAGGCTGGCTGCTCTAGTGGGTCATGGGGTGCAGGGGAAGGAGGGGTAGGGTGAGAGAAGTCTTAGAAAGATGAGATAGCAGAGGGTGGGCAGGAGAAGGAGGCAGCAACGGGGCAGCCCAGGCAGCAATGAGGTAAGAAGCTGGAAAGCCAGTAGGAAAAGCAAGCGCACACATGAATGCTGTATGGAGGCCTGGCCAGGCTACGCCTGTATGGAGCTGTCTGCTGGGGCAAACCAGCTCTCCAGATGCGGACCCACAGAGACTAAGAAGTGAGCAAGAGAAGAGACCCCTTCCTCCCTTCCGTCTTTCTCCGAGCACACCTGGCACCACCTCAACTAAAGGAAGAACAGTCATCCCTGCTCTGGGCCTAGCCAAGCCCCATGCCTCCACAGGAGTCCTTGAGAGAACTTACCTGTCTGCTCTAGTCTCTGCAACTCAACAAATTTAACAAACTTGGGAAGCTGATGGGTAAGACATGGCTTCCCTCACAGATGAGCTCTCGGCTCCTTTAATGTCCCTGGTTCTCACTCTGGCATCACTCACATAAACACTGCCTCCCACTGTGGCTCAACTCTCCCCCATGTGCAAGGCCTGCCACCCAGAGAGCGTAAACAGAGCAGGACATGTGCTTTTCAGAGCCTATTAACATCCTCAGTCTTTATCTGTCTTCGGAACCACTTCCGTGCCTTGAGTTGAACAAAGGATGCAGGGGCTGATGAACAAATACAAAGCTACTCGGCTTCAGTTTCATGGCACAGTGATTTCCGCAGATGGGCAGGTGTGCAGAGAAAACCATGAGGCTTTTGGAATACCGGGATCCAAATCTCAGCACGGCCCCTCGTTGCCCACGTGTCCTCCCACAAGTCCCTGGGTTCTGAGCCTCAGTCATTTCCTTTGTAAGAGACGGTGATACAGCGTCTCACAGGGATGTTGTGAAGGACAAGATGCAGGCCAGAGGGCAGAGCCTGGTCCTGGGAGGTCCTGGGAGCCGGAGAGGCAGGCTGCTTCTATCACACTGGGTCCAGACTGCGCCAGTATGAAAAATAGTTTTGTAAATCAGCTCCCAAGTTTCCAATACTTCCTTGTCTAAAATGGTGAACTGCTTAAAGGTATCAAGCCAGACCTGACTCCCAGGAATAATTTACAAACTGGAAGAACCTGTCTCCTTCCAACCCCAGCGGCCTCCCCTCCTCCCCCCAAAGAAAAATGAACAACTTAATCTGAGGACTCCAGTAGAAAGAGCCAAAGGTGGTTCTGAGGGTGCTGGGTGGGCGTGGGAGCTCCAAGAACGGGCCCTTATCTAGGGTGAGATAAGGGAGGTGGAGGGGATGGCTAGACAGGAGAAGATAAGCTGCCTTGGACAGAGCCCCAGCAGCCTGTACCAGGCTCAGACCTGCCTGCCTAGGTCTAATGGACTAGTCTCAACCTCTAAAACCAGCTTTCCCATTTAAGTCAAGGGCCTTAAAAATGCTTGCAACAACCACGAGGGATAGTTTTCCTCACAGAACAACAGAGGAGTCAGGGCCTGGCAAGAGGCGGGGTGAACCGGGTCCTTACTGCTAGTCGTGTGACTTAGCAAGTGATCTCATCTATCTGCAAAATGAGCAATGCTTCATGGAGCTGTAAGGAATAAATTCCGTCATGTCTACAATGTGCTTAGCACCTGGAAGCCATCTGAGAGCCAGTGCTTATTCTTCTGATGGCCCAAACGTAATCAGACCAACAGGAAGAATAAGAGGAACACAGTGGACCAGTAGGCCACTAAAACCAGAGGCCATAGGCCCAGAAGATCTGGCTTTAAACCCATTTCTTAGATTGACAGCCTTGGACAAATCACCTTATGACTTTTCAGCTTCCTGTATATATAAATAAAGTGGGTAACTCGTACGAGGTAGTTTTGGTCATGAGTGAGAAAGGCTAACTTAAGAAGAACTCCATGAGTCTGTGTCTGAACTTTAAGCCTTTCTTCCAGAAACTAGGGTGTAAGACTTTTGAGGGATATCTTTCTCCCAAAGGTGAAGGATTGGTTAAATCAGAGGATCTTGGGTGGTAGGTCTTTTAAAAGTCTTTCTGTCAACTACCACCCAGTTGTTGCCTTTTCTGAGTTTGATATGAAATATAAATAAAACCAACTACCCAGAAATATGAAAAGTTTCAGTGTTTTCTGGGAAGAAACAAGATGTGATGCTTTAGTTTCCAAGAATAGCTTTGAAGCAATTTGATTTTTGCCAACTAGAGTCCCTTATTTGTGGTTCTTCTGCTCCCCTGCCTATGTGACTTCATGAGTCACAAAGCATTCTCTTTCCCTGCTTCTGGCTGCTACAAATTAAAACTCAGAGCTTCGGATTGCTGGAGACGGCACTGATAATGGGCTTGGCCCGTGGCACTTGGGAGACAAGTTCAGGGTCTGGGCAGAGCTCCTCAGTCCTTGTCTAAGTGAGAGAAGGGGCCTCCTGGCCCAAGAGTCACTAGTGCACGTGAATTTAGGGCTCTCACACCTTCTCCTCTCATCCCCATCACAGCATGACCATGTAGTGGATCAATGATGAAATCTACAAAAACGTAAGGAGAGACACTGGGCAGACCCTTCCTACAAAGCAGCAGTTGGGCCCAGGAGAAAAGCTCAACCCCCAAGCCACCCTCAGGGCTCACACACATGAGCCTTGTGTTTACTTCAAAGTAAATATAATAAAAAGCCAAATCCCCTTGCATTGACAATGCCAAGTCGCCCATTCAAACACTTCCCAGGTGCACCTCACCGAGGGGCAATCGCCAAGTTTCTCCATAATGAAATAGAGTGTTCACCCCCACAATCTGGCAGGCAGGACAGAAGGCCCCAGTTCCATGCCTCACACACAGAAGACGCTCAGTCACGGCTATCTGGATCCCACCCCTGAGATGGGGCGGGTGCCAGCCAGGGCCTGGGCAGTGTGAAATGCCTTCCCCACAAATTACACAGGCCAGCACAGGGGATGCCGCAGACCCCATCTTCTCACCCAGTCCAAGGACGTCGGACTTTCCATCTTCCGGGGCCCGCAGCAACTAACTTGAACCAAAGGGGCCACTCCCAGAGGTGGAATGAACTGAGGGCCGCCTAGTCCTCCCTGCATCCTTCTTCCAGCCAGGAGACCCCAGACTTCCCTTGCTCACATCTCCAATGGAGAGCACGTTACCTCCTCTACCTGGAAGAGCCTCAGCAAGATCAAGTCATCTTTAAGGTTGCCCAGGGACAGCCATCCTGCCTCTCCAAAGGCTGATCCCTGTGCCTGGCATTAGCCCTAGAGATTACCCATGGAAGTTAAAGTCCCTTCCACATGGGTAAACCCAGTGGTATGGTCTCCTCTGCACACCCTCTGGAGCCCTAGCAGGAGAAGCTGATGAAAACACAACCAAGTTCCATCCTGCCGCAGGGCCCAGACATGGCCTGTCTGTACTGTCCTAGACAGAGAGCTCTGGGGACAGTCTCCAGGGAACACGGGTCCTGGCTTTCTATGCTGCCTCGCCGCTG